CCTCCCTTTGTGGTCTGCAACTTTGCACAAAACTCACAGCCATGAAAAAGACCTAACAGACCCACTCCTGACAGGGGCTCCACAGCAGCCTAAGTCAGGAAGACAGTAACTCATTTTAATTCATATCTTTCCATCCACATTTCACCTAAAATTGCTGGAGGGTCTCCAGGAACTCATCAGAGCACAAGCTCCTGATTTTATTTTACACACAAATCAGGCAAGGATGTATTTTTTTTTTTTTCTCTTTCTTTCCCCAGTCCTTCCTGGAGGAAGGAGGATCAGGAACAGCTGATTAACAACTTACATATGCCACGGCTGAACACTAAGGCACGTCACTTGCAGAACAACATATTCCTTGCAGAAGATCATTCCCGAGGTGTGCACTCACCCACCCACATGCTAATTGCCTCTCAGGGCACCCATCTGATCACTGCTTCTCCAGGAATGCTGCCTGTGCAAAGGGAGTGCAGTGAGAAGTCAGGCACACAAGTGGAAAATCTAATAAAAGACATATCCAAAGGGGACTGAATAAGGCTCTTCTAAAGGCCTTACATAACATGACTTTCAGCTGATGGGATTTTTCTTAGAACTGCATCAAAGAGCAACCCTTTGCAGCAGCTTTTTTCTTTGCAGATACAGACTGTAAAGATTTTTTTGGGGGGGGGGATGAGGGGGATATTGTAACCAGTTTCACTGTCATGTAGACCCAGTACCAACATCATGCACTAAACCCAGGTGTTTATAAGTCACTTCCCCAGCACATCAAGAAACCCATGACATGTTAATCTGGGCTGTAAAACAGGGATCACTCATCGGGTTGGGTGAGAATAATCCCCATGACCCCTCTCCTTGGACAGCAGAGGCAGGAAGATCTCCATCCTGCTGACTCTGTTGTCATCTGAAGCGAAATGAGCCCACCAAACACAGCACAGCCCTTCCTAACAGCATTTCAGAAGATAACCTGGGGTCCTGCTGCTGGGAAGGATACCCAGATGACAAGCCCACCACCAACCAACCTGCCTGGCCTGTGCTGAGCATGGGAGGGCTGCAGGAGGAAGGCAGAACCATCAACTCATGGTCCTTGCACCGGGCTGTTGTGAAAGCACCAAACCCGAAGCTGAGTTGGGCACTGGGACTCACCGTGGCAGCTCCACACCCTCATCCCATCCACACTGGTGATCCCAGCAGGAGAACTGCTTCTTCCCTCACCTGCCTGGCTCTTCCTCAGTTCCCAGCTCCCTGGGTGAGCTCCAGCTCACCCACCAGCAAGCCAAGGCTGAGGCCCACACCCCTTGATGGAAGTTTCATCCCGGGGTTCCCTCCCTGAGCACCACCCAACCTGAGACAAACCCCAAATAAAATCAACCCTTAGAGCCTGGGCTTCCAGTTTGATGGCAAGATCCTGCTCCAGCACTTTGCCCGGAACAGGCTGGGGAGGGCTCAGCGTGCACAGCCAAGGCTGAGCAGCTCCACTCCCCTCACCCTCATCCCAGAGACTGACACCAGGCACAGCGGTGGGAAAAACACCGGAACGCAGGTGGTTCCAACGGAGGCCACTTCTCTGCAGCCCAACCGCCCTGCGGGAGCTGCAGGGTTTGGGGGGCCCGGCATGGGGGCCCGGGAT